CCCCCACACACACACAAAACACACACACAAAAACACATCTACGTTTACCATAAAAATATCTATATTTATGAGCAGCATATAATCATTCACTTATCGTGCAGGAATATCGAGATATCATTGCTATATTTTCTGTCCGGTTTATGCGCGCACGTGCAAGTGACATCTACTCAAGCACTCACCTTTCAATTTTTTCCCAAGGTGGGATAGAACACACCTTTAATCAAATCTTGGCGATGGGAAATATAATCCAAAGACACACACAAAAAAGCGGAAGTTATTCCAAGGAACTTCACTTTTTTTCAGCAGCACACCAAAGCGCAGATGACGAAAGCAATTAACTCCAGAATAAACAAATTATCAACACGAACGAAGAAGAACAGAAGAAAAATTCCAGGAAGTATATGGAAGATAATATTATCGTGGCGAACACACTCACAAACAAACAAACAAACACACTTCTCACTGATATATATGCACAAACTTGATGAATATTATAAATATAACAACACAGCAGACGATAGATATATCTAGATTGGCTCCGGTAGCAAGCCGGCGAAAAAAAAAAAGAGATTTCCAATTAATAAACACAACTTGTAAACACAGATGCTGTAGATCTTCGAAACGCTTCCCAATCACAATCAGCAGACGATAATTTATCGCGTGCAGGCGCGAGTTAGGTGGTGGTGGGTGGGAGTGGCGGAACAACGAACGAACTCTCTTTTCTTTACCGCCCTCTTTCAAAAAAACTTCCACTTTTCGCGTCTGCTAGTGTTGTTGTGAGTCGACTACGACGACCGGGTTAGCTCCCCTTCTTCTCCCCGTGTCTCTCTCTCTCGCCGCCATTCACCGCATCACGGGCTTCGTCGTAAGTAGGGCTGGGCAATGAGTCGCTTTAACAAAATCCGGATAATATGTTAATGCACCTCTTCGGTAAATATTATCTTATGAATCGGTTCGGCAAATGGGTTAGAACCACTTTAACAAACGGGTTAGCATCACTTCAACAAATAAGTGCACCCAATTCAGCAAACTGGTCAGGAAAGAGAATTAAGAGTCTGAATTCGGATTATGTACTTATTGAGGATTATCCGATTATCCGGATATTTATCCGGATTTTTCCCACCTCTAGTCGTAAGTTCGTTCGTTCGTCGTGGTGTTACAGTTCTCCCCCTTTTCTCTCCGTCTTCGCGGTGGAAGAGTTAAATCTAGCCAGCAGCCAGCCGTTCTCTCGCCTCCTCCCCCTCCCCCTCCCCCCTCTCTCTCTCTCTCCCTCTCTCCTCTTCTTCTTCTCTCTCTTTTCTCCCCCTCCCCCCTCCCCTCCTCTTCCTCCCCGTCCTCTACTTCTTCCTTTCCATTTTCCTTCCAGCTTTCGGGGTTTATTCGCCAACGACAAGCGACAGGCGGATGTGAAGCAGGTAGAATTTGTTTGGGCGTCCCATTCGACTTCTCGATAATCCAACGCAACCGCGCGATCGTTGCCTTTTGGCTGGACAAGTTACCCAGAAGATTGGGAGGAATTTTGCCACCGCAAGGGTAGGCAGAGGCAGAAGATATTCGGAGACGTCTCCGGCGAGCACCTAGGAACTATTCAGAGACGTGGACGTACTCCTGTACACAGATGCACTGCTTTGGGGGGTCAAACTGCGAATTCTTTGCTACAAATCACTCATACACCTACTAAAACTGTCGTAAATCAATTATGTTCAAGAAAATTTCAAACCAAACTGCAACATATCAAATTATGTGATAAAACAGAGGGGAATGCCCCCCTGTAACCCCCCAATTTTTTTTTACTTTGTCTATAGGCACAAAGCATTTCGATTGGTCTATCTCCGCTGGAGACGTCTCCGGATAGATACTGCGTAGGCCGAGGTAACACGTCCGATTAATTTGGCCCCGGCCGCTGTTTCTTTATCCAATTACCCCGTGCCTCCTGGCGTGGAAACAATAACATTAGATCTAAGCATCCCTTTTTTTGTATCCTAGCCCTGACCCTATACTTTCCTCTGAACGTCTAGCCCTGACCCCATCTTCTGC